AAAAAGCATTATAGAATTTCCTCCTCTTTTTTTCTTCTATTTTTTCAAGCAGTTGAGAAATGATATTATATAAATTATATACTTTCATAATTCATTTTCAAAGAGTTGGATTTTTATCTGATTCTTTAGCAACAGGCCTATATAAAATGTAGTGGAGGAAAAAAAACCTGAATTTTCTTTTCATAAATTGACAATTTATCTAAAACCAGCTGTGCTGACCCCTTTTCCCTACCAAGTTCTTTTCAGAGTTGAACTTTATTCCAGTGGCTATTCCTCTGGGAATATCCAAGGATAAATTACCCTCATTTGAAAAAAAAAAAAGCAACAGCACTAGTCTTTTAGAGAAGATTACATACATAAACTGTAAATAAAGTACAAAATCTACAGCAATAAAACTGATTAAAAAGCACATCAAGGAACTGTTGCATTTTAGGCCAAGGCCAACTCATCTCTGACACATCTTCATCTCCAGAAGACAGAGATGGCATTCTATTCGCCATATTGTCAGGAGACGCGTGCGTATATGGGCAGGTTGGCTTGATCACTGTTGCATCCTGTCCATTTTTCCCAGTATGCCCATTCTCTTGTAGCCTAACACACAGCTGCAAAGTTCAGATTGGCTTCACCTCCCCCATCTCTGGGAAAGTATGGAGAGGATCTTGCTAGCAACAAGCTAGAGGGGGAGAGAATAATTGGGAGAACAGGCTTCCCCATGCGTTTGTAACTCACCACCTCAAGACACCTTCCACCCAGTCCAACCAAAGGGGGATCCAACCAGGATGGCTTTGTTCAGGATGCAAGACAATGGCCACTTTGGGAAAGAAAACCACAGGCCGGAAGCAGGAGGGCTGCAGGCTCTCATAGCAGGCCTTCCCAGCAAGGGAACGCACCTCTAGACACAAAGGATGTGACACACATGTCTATGGAGATTCTCAATCATCCAGGTCATGGTTGTCCCAGAGGTGCTTTTCCAAAAGGGAACTGGATTTTCTTGGGGGTTTTTTTCTTGAAAACGTTTTGTTTCTCATCCAAGAAGCTTCTTCAGTTCTTCATACCTGTCTTGCATGAAAAGCAAAACATTTCCAAGGGGGGGAAAAAACCCAAGAAAACCCAGTTGCCTTTTGGAAAAGCACCTTTGGGGCATGTGACACATATGCACTTCTGATGTGACCTGAAGCTTGAACTCTGGAGAGCTCTCCATCAAGGCTGTTGCTCAGCCATGCACTCAGGACCTGCCCTCTGAAGCTGTCCCCAATCAGCACCAGCCTTCCACACATTCGTATATCTCCTGCCCAGGGGCCTTGGGTTTTGCCCTAGCCTTACTGTCTTCCCCCAGAGGTGGCTTTAAGAGTGGTGAATATCAGCTCAAATAATGTTTGATTGAAAAACCCTACATTGTCAGGCTTCACAATTAACTGGAAAACACCAAATGCCAATTGCTTTTTTCTTCTTTGTCTTCTTTTAGGGCAGAACACATTTATTTAATCCATTTTAGCCTGTTTTCCATTAAAATCTAAGGCTGAACTAAATTTGCGCTAATTGCAGCTTCTTATAAGAGGGTGACCTGTGCCAAATTAAAGGCAAAACATTTTTCCCCCTTTGAGAACTGCCAATATAATTTTTATTTCTTGCCAGAATAGGAAATAATTTTCAGGCATTGCTGCATCTTCCGAAGAGACAGATTCTGCCAAGTTTCAGATGATTAAGTTCAAAGGTTTTATGTTGCTATTCCACAACAATCAAACCAAATATTGGTGTTCTCATGAAATGAGAAATGCTGCCCTATTAGTTCTCTGCCACAGGCAAAGGGCAAAAAAATAGTTCTGTTTTGTAATAAAATGTGTTTTTATATCATAAATGTTATGCTTAATTGCATAATATAACACTTTTCAGTTTCAACTCACTAGAGGCTTTTGGATCAATGGAATGAAAAGATATCAGTGTTTCAGCCTTTGTGATAATGAACTAGTGACAAGCTGAGTTAAGACCCTGGTCTAAATAAGTGAAGGTGATCAGATACCAGATCAAGTTCCCCTTCCCTTACCCCTAAATTATAATATCATTAAAGCCAAGTAGCAACATCCTGTTGAAAGAAAAGTCTTCATCAGGGTCCAGTCCAAGCCGGGAATAAACAAAATGGAGACTGCTTTAGAAAGAAGGCTGTAGTTTATTGAAGAGCAGAGCCAGACAGAGGACTCTGGGAAAGCTGACCACATGGAACAGGGAGTGGTGGGTTTTTATACCTTCTTGGGGTGTTTGGAGTTGTTCCTGTGGCATGAACTTTGACCTGAGGTTCAGTGTGCGTTTCTGGTATTCTGATGGTGGTGGGTTAATCCTATTATGTCCTAAAGGTCATATCCTGCTTCCCTGTGGCTGTGGCTGATGGCTATGTCCTGTGTTGGATTTTTTGGGGTGAGGGGTTGTTAGTTCTAGGGATCTTTGTCTTTCTAATCCTATCAGCTCTAAGCTTCCTGGTGCCAGTCTTTCTGAAAGGATTATCATATTTGCATTTCTACAGAGCTGGTCTCTGCTTAGGTGAGGGAGACTTGGGGCTATTAAGAAAAACTGGGCATGCTTTTCTGCCTTTTTAAGATCCTTTGAGAAAATATAATATTCTGCCTTTTTAATATTTTCTTTTCTGGGGGGGTGACTTCCCACAATCCTTTTTGAAAATTCCTGTGCCATAGTCCAGAGGCCCCCAATCTTTTGAGCACCAGGGACCAGTTCTGTGGAGAGAGGTTTTTCCGTGGACGAGAGGGGACGTGGTTTCATGTGCTGCCTGCATCCCGGGGATGGGGCTTCACTTGTTTGCGCAGCCCAGTTGCTGGTATGCCACGGCCTGGTGCCGGTCCATGGACCGGGGATTGGGGACCCCTGCCATAGCCCATCAAGTTAGGAGAAGAGGCATAGCCTGGGGCAGAATCAAGGGAGGACTGAGCCTAGACTAGTTACGTTCCCACAAGTGCTCCAAATCCATCCCCTTGAATTCAGTTGATTCTTATCAGCCAATTTAGTACTGACCATTACTTGACTAGATTCTTGTGTATAGGCTTAAGCAATAAATCTTCTTTACTGGGACTTAACATATAGTCCTGATTTTTTGCACCTGACATCAAGAGGTTTTTAATTCTGTATTTCTCTTAGATTGACTATAACCAGGGCTTTTTTTCTCATAGAATGCCCAGAACGGAGTTCCAGCACCTTTTTTGGATGGAACCTTGTAGGGTAGTCAAGGCGGGTTGTATGACATGTGTGAGTTCCGGCACCTTTTTTTTTTTTTTTTAGAAAAAAAGCACTGACTATAACAACCACCGAAAACCTAGAAATTCTACTTGGAAGCATTCATAAATACTGACATTATCTTAAACATGGTCTGTTTAATAAGCCACAATTGGCTGGATTCAGATATCATATTAAACCATCCATTATCATACCATTTTAAATATCAATACAATGTATTAATCCAAACCAAACATACCTTATAATCAATTTAGCATGATGTCTCTCCATCTGATAGTGTAAGATTAGGCCTCAAGTCAAGATCAGTTCTTTCACAGACTATATTAAGATGATTTTCTTGGCAATAGCATAACAGAAACAGTTTGCCACCACTATCTTTAAAAGTTTTGTTTCAGCTTCCCAGTCTAGTCTATATTTCAGAGATTTCCTAATGTTCTGATATCCAGTTTTTTTTAAAGGAAATTGGTTGACTGAGTGCTTCCACTTGCTTATAAATTAATGATGAGTAGCTACTGATAATTAGCCCCAACAGTTAGGCCATTAGCATCATTCTCACATGATGGGGAATTAGGTGAATATACACATTGTTGACATATCTAAGACCATTTCATAACAACATGGCTAGGATATCAGTTAAATCAGATACTTAAAGGAACATTAAATGGATAATCCCAATGCCATAAACCAAATAAAATTTTATTATAAACCCATTGCTTCTTTTTCACTAATGGTCTGTCTATCTATCTATCTATCTATCTATCTATCTATCTATCTATCTATCTATCTATCTATCTATCTATCTATCTATCTATCTATCTATCTATCTATCTATCTATCCATCCATCCATCCATCCATCCATCCATCCATCCATCCATCCATCCATCTTTTTGTTTCCTGGTAAGGAGAAAAGTGCCCAATTCCAGTTCAACTTCAACAGTTCCCACATTCTTCTTTTACAATACAAAATAAATTAAGGATTGGAAGTTCATGCTAGATTCCAAGCCTGAAATAAACCCGATTCGAATCAATAACGCCAACTTCAACAGAGCATAGCTGTGAATATTTGGCAACAGGCTTCTGTGCTAATTCTTTGGCCTTCGTTAATATCCTTCTCGACCATTAAGATAAGATGTGATGGCGGGGGGAGGGGGGGATCACCGCATCTTACAAATGCAAAGGTTGTCCGTCACCTTAGATTCAGAAAAGCAAATCTCCCTCGCTTACAAGCCCTGCTTGACCGCCACCTTCACCCAGCCCACGCATACACAACCGAAGAAGTCAGAGGGGCTCCTTTGAACAAAGAACCCAAATCGCCTCGCAGCCTCTCCAAGCTCGTGAAATCCATCTTAAAATCGGGGAGGACTGAACCATTTTCTTCCAAAGAGGTCGATCGGCTCTTGTGGGATCCAGGAGAGAAAGGGAAGGAGAGGGGAGGTCGGGAGAGAGGGGAGGAAGGACCCTTTCGTTCTCATTAATTCACTCATGACCAAAGCACGATCGCCTCCCTCGTTTAAAATAAGCCCGCTCTGGGGGGGGGGGGAACCAAACCATCTACCTCCCCCTCCCGTACCCCGTTCTTGGGGGGGGGGGAAGAGGCGGTGTTATTTATAAACAGCCCTGGCTGCAATTTGCAGAGAGCTTCTGGCTCGGCCGAGGATGCTGCAGCTTTAAGAGAAGGGATCAAGGCTGATTGGACCTAAAGGAGAGGGGTGGGGGGGGGACGGGGGGAAAGAAGGGGAGGAGTGAGCGGCGAACGCGGGGGAGAGAAAATGGGCATCTTTTCTGGGCTTCTCCGAAGGGATGGCTGGGATTTAGAAGAAAGAGGCGCCCGCTGGAGCTAGGCGGGGGGCTCGTCCCTGGGACCGGCAAGCCAGCTTGGTCAAAGCGGGTGAGTAACACGCGCGGTGTCATTCAAGAACTTCGCTCGCGTCCGTCCCGCTCGTGTAAAAACTGCCTTTCTGCTTCACCCCTTGCACTTTTTCTTTTTTCTTTCTTTCTTTCTTTTTTTTTCAACTCTGGTACGATCTTCTATGGTTGGGAAATATAGGAAAACATACATTTCGCAACTCTTCTGCAACTTCTTTTGGCAATAGTTTTCGGGGTAGCGAGCTGATCCCCCCCCCCCCTCTCTCTCTCTCTCTCTCTCTCTCCCCCTCTCTCTCTCCCTCTTTCCCCCACGCGGATTATTCATTCCTGCGCTTACTCTCCCCGTAAGCGTGATGCATTCGGGCAATATTCCCGAGGCAATCCATTTCGGCCACGGGTGCTGGCGAGACCGATCTTTAAAGGTGCACTTTTTCGAGAAAAGGCGCTTGGAATATTTTTTTTTTTTGGGGGGGGGTTGTTTTTTTTTTAAAGAGCCCGATGCAATAACGCCTCAGAGGACAAAGCCTTGGAGGGGATGCAAAACCAGCCTTTCGAAACAGCGCTTCCGTAGCATAAACAAATTCGAATTCAGGAATAGTTATTTTAATTAACCCTGGTTTGTATAAGTAGGTTTGGAACTTGGGGGAGGAGACTGAAAATCTGAACCTGTTCAGGTGTGAAGGGAAAACAGAGTTAGGAAGACAAAACATAATGCCAAACCAAGTGGCAAGCTGGTGAGAATAAGCTGGTCAAATCCTTACAAACTTAGTCAAATGACTGTAAGGATGCTTCTCTGGATTAGGATTTGTGCAGGTAACATGCTATTAGAGCTGGTGGTAGAAGGTCAAGCCACACAATTTCTTGCTGTAAGCTTAAGGAAACAGTGCTGATAACAAACAATTGAGAAATCAGATATTTAGCAACTTCTGTAGTTAATGATGTGAAAGAAGCAAAACTAATCCTCTGAAGATCCTCTAACATAGTGGATCCTAATCCTTACAAGTTTATCCCACATTATCTGTTATTCCTGAAGGTACAGCATGATTCTTGTGCATTTGTGGACCAGTTGTGAACCTAGCATAGCCAGCCTAGCTGAACATTTTAAGAAATGAAAGCAATCTTCTCGTTTCAGGATGAACTTTGCTTCTGTAGACATTGCATGCAACTTGGCTCTTGAACGTGATCATGTGACACCTTTGCCACATAGCTAGCTTGCAACACTGGGGGGGGGGGTGTTTTACATGTGACAACTTTCCAGCACCAAGGCAACTTTCGTTTCACAAGGGAGAACGTAGTGTTCTGTCAAATCTGGGCTTTCGTCACCTGTGGGGGTGTTGATCCAGTGTGTGGAAGTTGTCATCATGCTGTTACTGTATTTCAGCCTGTTTGTGATAGTGTAGTACAGAGGGAAGGGTGTTGCAACTGGAAAGTGTGGTTAAAAAAAAATAAAAAGAACTATGCAACTGCATACACCATGTAATGAATTATGCAGGGATTTACACCCTCCAAATTCTCAGCAGATGTGTTCAACTTGCAAACTGTCGCTGAATCCGTGTTGACATAATACTAAAAGAACGCTGGAAATGTTCTTTATTCCTTGGCTCTTGGTATAAAAAGTATTGGAATGGTGAAAAGGAGATGAATTCTGTGTTTGTATTATGAACAGATAAGATTCAGTATATTTTTCATGCTTCTCCATTAACTAACATGCTGAATACATCTTAATATGAATCTTAGTAAGCAAACTCCTAGGGAGTGGGAAGAATGAAAGTTATAAATGCTGTTGTTGCATGTTTCAGATTACATACTTCCACAATGTAAAATATTGACATGATTCCAAGACAGGAAATAGGTGATAGTGCATACTAGTCACATACTGTAAAATGGCTTGCTTCATTCTAGTGTAGCTTATTCTGTAAACCTAGGCAATTGTGATCTATCATCCAGGTTTGTGTATTACTGTGTGGCAGATTAGCAAACTGGTTTTATTAATAACCAATGGTCAAAAACCCAGGGCTTAATATCATGTGCAAATCTTGTGGGGCTCCAGGAGTATAAACTATTGCCATTATAACAATAACAGATTAAGTATGTATTAAATAATACAAGAGAAAAGGGTCCTAAATGAAACATTGGATTCCCAAGACCCCTTAAATCGATTCAGAAAGAATGGCTTCTGAAATGCCACAGTAAGACTGAATAGAAGCCCTTTTCTGTGCAATTATTCTATGATTATTTGATTTAATTATTCTGTGATTTGATTCTATAATTTAATTATAATAATAATTCTATAGTTATTCCTTCCTATTCATTATTTGTATCTAAATGGACAGAATTTTGGTTATGTTCTATAGTAGACCAGTTCTTAAACAGGGGAGATTACCCCAAAGGGATCATTTGAGCATATCCTAGGCTAATGGACTAATGTTTAATTAGTTGTCTGTGAGTTGAGGATCCCGTTTGGGACTGCTGCTATCCTTGAATAACACAACACTCTGGGTTTTGAGGCTGGGGGTGGCGATGATATTATTTGAGACTGAGGACAGGAGTAATTGGGTCAAACAGTTTAAGATCTAAATTAAGCTTTGGTTTTCCTGAATTGCACATTCAAATAATAGTTCCTGTTCTACGAATTACTTTGTTGAGATGCAAGAAATTCGAAGCTGGTGCCTTTGTCCAAGAAGTTCCTGTTTCATTCAGACATGATTATTGTTATCTTTGGGGCCATCTGACCCAGGAAGAGTCTGCCCCTCCATTCCACAGAGGCCAAGAAGGTAGGCTGAGAATCCCTCCCCTAGGAGAGGTTAAGGGGACAGAATCAAAATTCAAAATTCAGAAAGCATATTCTTTTAAAGGGCTGTTGGGGCTTGTGAATGCAATTTAGCAGTCAATCCATGAAAAAGTATTTACTTAGCTAAGAAATCATGTGGTTGGTGTTAACTTTGATTTTAATGTTTAACAGTTTATTGTGGTATGTGATTTTTACCCTATTGTGAACAATCTAGAATCGTTCTCTGGAGGTAGCATACGTGTTCTTTTATGTGTAAATAAAAATGTATGCCTAAATCCAATCCAGCGTGAAAACTAGTATGTTTTAGCAATTGAGGTGGGAAATTTGGATCAGGTGCCCTCAGATTCAAGTCTATACTCAATCATAGAATCCACTGGATAATTGGGGCCAGTTATTTTCTCCAAGCCCACTGAGCTTCAGTTTCAAACATCATTAGTAGTCCAATCCTGAATAGCCAAAATAATCAAGGCATGGCTGAATAGTTAAGGCTGAACTGAATCTGAGTTCCCTCCCACTCAAAAATGAGGGGTTTTTTTGAGCTCCAATTGAATTCTGTTATGTATAAACGCTGTTTTAATTATGGTCTGCTGCATATTATTAGCTGGATTCACTCATAGCGCTTAAGGTGTAAATTATGGTTTTCCAAATTGCATGGCTGGGATCACACTAATCCAAAACCAAAAAGACCTACAGTAAGACTTACCAAGATGTGCCGTTATCAAGTACACAATATACTAGAAATTACTTAGAAGTATATCTCAATTTCGCACCAGTGTTATGTGTATTTCCTTAGAGAAGGAATATTTTTTCCTTTTTTGCTTTATTTCTTCTTGGCTGCAGGAGGGGGTTATTTTTTCACCTTACCTCCCTTGGTTCTGCCTACCAAAAATAGAAGTCAGCCCCTTTCCAAAAGATCCCTATTTTAACTATGATCATTCCCTAAATCTAAAATGATAGATTTTTGTAATCATAGTTTAAGTGATTATTAGTACTTGAGCTTTGGGAGAAGCCTTATGTGGATATTGAAATCTTTTTTTAAAGTAAGTGAGTCATATTTTTAGGAGGTTTTACCCATATGTGTCCTAGTAAATATAGTGCTTTAATTCACTGTAATGGGACTCTGCATTAATGTCCAAAATAAACAAGCTATGTCCTACCTAGACAGTACAAACAACAACTATAAGGTCCTGACCCTGAAATTGTAGTTGTCTATACTGTCTTGCAATCAATAAGCTTTCTGCAAAGACTCGTGTGTGCATAATTGGGACCTCAGTAGAATGCTATTTAGAGAAACTAGCAAGGGGGAGAATTCAAATGTGTGCATAACAGCTTTGCTTCATTCATTGTCTTGATGCTCATTTTCAAAATCAAATTGGAAACCAACCCTCTGTGTATATTAAATTGTGTCTTGCACAACTGTGCCCCCTGCCTGGGGTCAGTAGGGTCAAATATTCCATAATACTGGTAAGTAGGAACAGCTTGCATTAAGTGTAGGCAGAAAAAAGGTCAATACCCTTGAACGAAAAGGCTGTGAACATTACACTGGACATATAACTAACTTACCATGTCACTAGAGGCCAAGATTCTGAAGAATAAAATGCAAATCAAGTTTGAAAAAAAGCATACTTTATTTTATAGATCTGGGTTGTATATAGCTTTGTCACCCCAGTACTAATTTGGGGGGTGAGCCATTTATACTTTGCTGTGGCTATTTTGATACCCTGTCTTAGATCAAAGAATGGACATGTCACAACAATTATAATGCGCAAATTAAATGATGCTGCAGTGGAGAAATGAGCCTGACTGTTGGTCCATCTATGCTTGTGTGGTCTGTTGTGATTAAATATATTTGTCCCAAATCTTGGGTCAGAGTTCAACAGTATAAGTAGATTTAGGCAGAAAGAGGGTTATCTGCATGTAACCCTCTTTCGTCAAAATAATGAATGCATCTTGATGCTGCAAGCTTCTCCCTTTCACACATACACTTGACATTACAACACATGTAGAACATAAGTGGGTTTTGCATCATGTTCTGTCCATCAACCAACCCCCATCTCCTCTGGGTGCATCACTGCATGCAACACATTCTCTTTGCCTGAGAAATCAGCACTGGAAATTTGGATTCTTCCCTGGGGGATAAAATGAGCAATATAAATAGGATAAGAAGATTCCAAAGCTATGTGAATAATCCTGAAGCCATGGAATTCTTCTACTTAATAATATTTCTTTAC